GAGGACAGGGCCTGGACACAGAGCCCAGCCACACAGCCCAGCCACAGAGTTGACAGAGTTCAGGAGGACAAGGCCTGGACACAGAGCCCAGCCACAGAGCCCAGTCACAGAGTTGACAGGGTTCAGGGGCGCGGCCAAGAGGAGGACAAGAGGAGGACAAGGCCCAGCCAGAGCCCAGCCAAAGAGTTGACAGAGTTCAGGGGCGCGGCCAAGAAGGACAAGGCCCAGCCACAGAGCCCAGCCACAGAGTTGACAGAGTTCAGGGGCGCGGCCAAGAGGAGGACAAGAGGAGGACAAGGCCCAGCCACAGAGCCCAGCCACAGAGTTCAGGGGCGCGGCCAGTGAGTGCGGCCAGCTCTTTTCTTTCTAAGATAGAACCCCAACAGTAAACTGTTTGGGGAAAAAGAAACACACACACACACACAAAAGCACTGCATGATAAAGTTCATCAATCTTTGAAAAAGTGCTGCGATTGTTATCAAGGGCTCGATTCTTCAGCAGTCTGAATGGCACTCCTTGATGACAGTCGACGGTCACTGTTTGTCCAGCCCACCCAGCGGCCCGTTTTTCAGAAGCTCGGCAGCTCAAATGTCCGCGCTCCGCAACTTGGACACCTCCACAAGAAAATAATGTTAGGCACTGCCTCAACTCAGATCCAGCCAGTGAAAACATGACGAAAGGGACAGAAAAATGAAAAGAGAGAGTTAAATGCGAAGGTTCTCGTAGGCTGGACTCTTTTCTTCTTTTGTTTCATCTCTTTTTTCTTTCCTCCGTCAGTGATCGAAGATTCTCAGGGATGCCAATGGCGCCCAGCGCCTGGTGGCCAAGCCTTCAGCCAAAGAAGCACAGGCTCGGCATCGACTTTGCCAGGCCACCTCGTCTTTGTGACAGCGCCAGGCATGAAGCAAAAGGCTTTTAGAACAAGTAATGCCAAGCAATGCGAAGCAATGACCTGCTCCGCTTTGCAAAGGCTGTATTGTTTCCACTGTTATCCTCTTCTGCAATGAGTTGTTCCGCGTCTTTTTCGTATCTTTGTTTTGCACTTCATGGGACAATTACACTCAATAATCCTGGTCCAGGCGCACGAGTCTATTGGGGCACCTGTCACATTCTCTATGAAATCAGGATATGAAGGGTGATCATCCAATCGGCCGATTGATTATTGTGGATGGATCTAGCAGGCATCTCAGACCTGAGGGCTGCCCAAAAGGAGCGCAAAGGACAGACATGTTACAGTAAAACGTAAACGGCTAGTATCCAGCATAAAAATGTTCTTCCTTCAAGCCTTATAGAAATAGATTGAATCCCATCCAAACTCGCTCACAAAGCCTGTCTGCCTAGAAAGCCAATAAGGGGCAGACTCGCAACGGTTGCAAAGTCATTAAGAGGTTTCCAAATGTCCTATCAGTCGTTGCAGGTAGAAAATGAAGTGTCATACCGAAGCTACAGTGGATATAAGTTATAAGGCTCTCGGCAAGAAGCATGAATACAATAGATTTAGATCAATAATGATATCCCATGCGAAGCACACTGACTTTCACTGACGTCGCTCGTTGTCTTTTAGTTGGTCTGTCTGTTCTTGAAAAGATTCCTTCAACAAATTCAGCACTGAGAACTACCAAACTGGCATCAGTAATTTGCAGTTGGTCTGACCTTGTTGTTGACCGTTGTTTGACGGTTGAACTTCTGTCTCCTCAACTTGCCCTGCGCATGTTGTGCCACGATCGCTGCATGGGCCTGTGACCTGAAGAAATGTAGCTCTGAGCAGCCCCTAGTAGCTTCTTGCTCCTAGTAGTAAGGCCAGGCGCCCCTAGTAGCGTCCTTGCTCCTAGTAGCGATGCCAGGAGCCCCTAGTAGCGTCCTTGCTCCGAGTAAGTTGTGAAGTAAATTGGACAAAATTGAAGTAAATTGAGAATTGCGCAATTGGAACTGTCATTGTTTGCGTGGAAGTGGCTGGCTTTGGATCAGCTCAGCAAGATTGCACTGAGACTCGAGCTGTCTGTACCAAGCCTGGGCATCCTCTGAGCTGGCCCATACCTTGGTTCCACGATGAAGGCACAGCAAAGAAAGAGAAAAGACTGCCTGCCGGGCCTCTCCGCAAAGCTGTTGAAGTCTTCAGCAAATTCAAGTGACCCATGAAATCCAAGCACCTGGGTCACCCAGCGCTCAAGTTCACCTCTCGGAGAGACTGCCAATTGGGATTGATCAACCAAGGCCTCAGTCAAACAGCTTCTAAGGCTGGCTGCTGGATGCAAACTAAGGCTTAGAAGGCCTGAGTAGAAATGCCCAAAACAATGCTGACAAAATCAGGATGACGAACGCCGTCTCTTACCATGAATCAAAAATTATCTCATCTTCCCGAAGTCCGGGAGTGTACTGGAACATATCCATGTAAAATGGTTTTAGGTCAAGCAACTAGCTGGGACGCCCACCGACGAGCTGACTTTGGCAATACACAAAGGAGGTTTGCAACCTAAGCAATTGGGAGTCATCAGCAGTCCGAGATTACCAAAAGCAAACGTTCTCTAAGGAATCCAAACCGGAAGCAAATCGAAATGATTGAAAACGAGGCATTCTATATCTGTTGATCTATCACTTTGACATCGCTGTGCGCATCAGGCCCAGCCAAGAGGCAAAGCCCGGAGCTGGTGTTCCCTGCAGTGTAGAGCGGTACTGTGTTTGATGTCATTCTTGCAAATGGCATAATGACATGAGGCTTGGTTGATGATAGTTCAGCAAAAGAGATCAAATCCAGTACATCTAGCTCTTGCTTTGGTTCCGTCGATATAGTTTTATCCTTTTTAATCAATAGTACATGCACAGTTCAACCTATATAAAACACAAATCCGCCCGCACCGAAGGTGCCGAGGCGTTTTTATAGGGCACGCGCTATACCTAAGCTAGCATATGCAAGCCAATAGCTTTAGCTACGGGGGGGGGGGGCCATTTTCGCTTTGGAATCCTGTGCTTTTTCACGTTTTTGGAATCGGCTTAAAATGCTGGAAGATGAATTCGTGCTATTTTGAGGCCCCTGATGATGCAAGAAATGCCATTTTCTTCCTTTGCATGATTTGAATCATCTGCGCGGTAAAGTGTAATAGGACTGAGGCCGGACATTTGGCTGAACAGGCTCCCCTAACGTGGCTCAACATAGCTTCCACCGAACATAGCTTCCATATTGCCTAACATAGCTTTAGAAGTCACTATCTAAAGGACGTGTCCGCGAGATAGGGACTTGAATGTCCGGATATTTGGCTCCACAGGAGCAGAGATAAGCAGAGATCAGGTCCAGGAACGGTAACATTTTCTCACGAGCATTGCTTCCATATGGTCGAACATAGCCCCAGAAGTCACTATCTCAAGCATGCTTCCTCGAGATAGGGACTTCAACGTCGTAAACATGGCCCAACGAGGGCTCAAAAGGGACTGGAATAAAGTAAAGATATTGCCTAACATCGCCCTAGAAGTCATAGGGACTTGAACGAGCATAGCTTCCATATTGTCGAACATAGTGTTTTCTCGAAATAGGGACTTGAACGTCGCAAACATGGCCCCACGAGGGCTCGAAATGGACTGGAACAAACTAAAGATACGTACCAAAATGATGAGACCCATACCAAAATGGCTGCAGTCTTTGAGCCCAAGGTTGTTTGAAAAGGCACTGTGACTAAAACGAACCCTGCCATGATCAACCACCCCACGCTGTTTCCATTGCATGTCTTCTAACATGATATCGTCTGCCATGTTCGTTTCATACTGCATTCCTTGGCTCCAAGGGCACAAGAACCCATTCCCGATCGTGATACGTCCGGCAGTGGTGGCGGCCCTTCAACAGCCACGATTGCTTGAAAAGGCACTCTGACTACCGAATACAGAACATTAGCCCGATCTGCAGCGTCATCCCCTGCCCTGATGAGACCCATTCCAACATGGCTGCGGTCTTTGAGCACAAGATTGCTTGAAGAAGCACTGTGACTAAAACGAACTCTACAACCTACACCTGTTTCGTATCCAGCTTCTACCAAGATCAACCTTACACTATCCAACGCTGTTTCCATTGCATGTGTCCGAACATGTTATAATCTGCTATATTCCTTTCATACTGACTCCCTTGGCTCCAAGAGCACAAGTACCCGTTCCAGATCGTGTCACTTCCGGAAGCTCTCTAACCACTTACCCGACCCGCAAAATGGCTGCAGTCTTTTAACCCCACAACCACGATTACTTGAAAAAGCACTCTGACTCCAACGAACTCTACCAACGGCACCTGTTCCGTGACCATAGTGACTTCTAGGGCTATGTTAGGCAATCTTGAATTTATTCCAGTCCATTTTGAGCCCTCGTTCAAGTCCCTATCTCGAGGAAGCATGCTTGAGATAGTGACTTCTGGGGCTATGTTCGACCATATGCAAGCTATGCTCGTGAGAAAATCTTACCGTTCCTGGAAAAAGAGCGATGTTTGGTCACGTTAGGGGGGGTCTTTGTTCCAGTCCCTTTTGAGCCCTCGTTGGGCTATGTTTACGACGTTCACGTCCCTATCTCGCAGACACGTCCTTTAGATAGTGACTTTTAGAGCTATGTTAGGCAATATCTTTACTTTATTCCAGGCCCTTTTGAGCCCTCGTTCGAAAATGTTACCGTTCCTTATCTCTGCTCCTGTTGAGCCAAATATCCGGCGAACGTCTTGAGCTACCTGCGGAAAAGATACACCAATTTGCGACGTTCCCACATTCTAGCGCTATGTTAGGCAATATGGAAGCTATGTTCGGCCACGTTGGGGGGGGGGGTGGCTTCTGGGGCTATGTTCAATGGAAGTACCTACCTTGACCCGTTCCTGGAGCATGACTGCAGTCTTTGAGCCCTCCCATGCGGTGCGGGCGGTTACCGTCGCGAAGCGACGTGAATATGATACTAGTAACATTTAAAACAAAAGACACATGATGGGGTCAGGCTCTACGATTTCCGTGCAGTCTTTACCCGCACATTGGCACAGGGGCCTTCTATGGAGGAGTGTAATCTCTGTGCGCAGAGAAACTACACAGTATGCAAAACAACTACTGTCTTCTTGGTGCCTCCGTGCTTAAACATCCCTTCGATATGTCGGTGGCAATCTTTTGCATGCTGCACAAGTGTTGTCTCAGGGTGTCAGTGTGATGTGGATTGTCTGGTCAAGGTGTGTTGGCATCCCATGTCACTGAAGATTAAGATCTGACATGCCATCAAACACAGGACCCAAGCCTGCATGTCGCCAGGCAAAGAAACTCCTCAACAGGAACTACCAAGCAAAAACCCTGTGGATGGGCTGGAACACTCTTCACAGACAAAAAGCGGCACGAACCTTTGAGCTTCGGTTTATTTGGAAGGTCTAGATGTTAACTGCTAGCCTGACATAGTATATTGGGCAAAAAATGTCTATGGCATCGGCGCCTGATAGCTCTTCCATGATCTTTAGTGATGAATGCACAGTGGCCTCGATAGCCAAACACATTGCAAGTGCGATATCAGGTTTGGTTCATCAGCAAACAGCCAAAGGCACTTTCGTTGAAAATGTACATAAAGGGTGTCCCCTGACAAAAGTGCAGCACACGAAGGTCATCCGCATCTGCAGTTGGCAAATGCCCAACGTTACAGACCTCAGTTTATATAGTGGTCAAGAAAACTTGGTGCCGGAGGGCCAATCAGAGGCACAGAGCTGCTCATCTTATCTGATGCTCCACCAGAAGTCTGCTGCTCTGCTTAAGATGAAGGAAGACTTGGGGAAGGAACAGAGACGACATCGCATGGGTGGCGTTGGTAAGATTACAGTAAGCCTAAACTATTCAACAATTCCTGTCAGGTGGGTTGAGGCAACGAAAGTTAGAAAGGGAGCGAAATGAGGTCAGGTAAACTTAGTAAAAAAAGACTCCTTGATTAGCAATAGCGGGTATTCTTTTGATCGATCCGGCTCAAGGGCAGGGGAGATGTTGGGCAGCTGATGCACAAGTACTTTTCCGAGATTGTCCGGGAAATGAAGATTCAAGTAGTTCAGCAGTTGCGGCATATGGCATAGCCAGCAGGGTCCGTGCAGCATCCACGTTTCAGCTCTTGGGCACCGTGCCACATGGCCAGGGGCCAGCTTCTCTGCCTGGCCTGGAGCTACAAGGAAAGGTACACAATAAGCACGTTAAAAAAAAAAAGATGCGTTGAATGGCTTGGTAAAGTCCGCCTCATGCGAGGACGGGCTCATATCAAAATGAACTTCCATGACATGTCAAGGCAGCAGACTAGACTTAGCCATGAGATCTCTCATGTACAAAAAAAAAGAATCTGCTTTTCTCAGAGTCCTTCTGAATTTTCTGAAAAAAGCACATGTTTTGCCACGGAGGTATGGCACGCTGCCTCTGAAAGAAGCGAAAGAAGCTGACAAATTTGTCAGATTCTTCGGTAGCGAGTCATTTGCCTCCCTTTAAGGAGCCACAGAAAACCTCCGGAGTGCCTCTGCTTTTGGCTTGACGCCGCGTAAGTCCACGTTCTTTGCCAAAATGTTCAAACTCATTAAATCATTACTCAACCTAATAGCGAGAGCAAAGAATCACTACCTCAACCTAACAGCGATGGCCTCCAACCTAGAAGCAATGGGCTCCAACCAATAGCTGGGTCATTCGGTCATTTCTATTGCCCAGAGCATTGTGCGATCCGAATCTGAGGTCTTCCACCAACTCGTGCAAGCTGGCCTTCCAGCCTGTCTCATTTGCAGCAGGGCTGAGCAATGGTATCCGACCATATTGTCTTAATGTAGTTGATCTTTTTCATATACTAATAAAGTATTTCTGAGAACTAATTGCTTTGCAAGAATGCATCTCACCCCAATGCCTAAATCACTAAAATGTCAAGCTATGCCAAGCAACCATAATTGTATTTCCTCTTTGATCTGCCTTCGGCAGAAGATCAAAGTGTCACCTCGCAAAGCCTGTCTATCTCACGAAATAATGTTGAGCCGAGAGATTGGATCGATCAGGCAGTATTAGAACCAGTGGCTCATTTGCTTTCGAGCAATGAGCACTACCGGGGATGAAGCTGCACTATGTGCCTAGCACGGCTTGCGAACTTTGCATTTAGTGATGCTACAAAGAGAGGCTTCAGCCTCAGTCTCCTAGCTGCCCTATAGAACTAGGATGCCTGTGCCAACAGTTACGTATAAGTTATAAGTCCCATCGGTCCTAGACATGGACATCCAGGTTCTTTGAAGTCACTCAATTGCAGGAGAACTTGGCCGAACCTGCAAAGTGGAAGGCACCTCCACATTCCTTGGCTGAAGGTTGACAAACAAACTGCAAGTGCTGTTCTTATCGAGGCTACAAACAGGCAATGGAAGGCTCATCGGCGTACAAATGTCACGCAGGCAAGCTTTGATGAATATCATGGAATAAATTTGATTGCAATGGCTTCTTGTTTCTAATAGCATCTTGTTCCTAGTAGTAAGGCCAGGAGCCCTTAGTAGCGTCCTTGCTCCTAGTAGCGATGCCAGGAGCCCCTAGTAGCGAACATTGTTCCTGCCCAGATTCGCCTTGGGGACGCAGATTGTAGGTGGCACATTCCTTGCAGTCGGAGTCCGTGCAGCCGACCATGGAACCGGCGGACATACCGTGACACGAGAAAGTTCCATAGAGCGTATGAATCCCGTTGCTGATGGCCTCGCAGCTTGCTCCCGTGGACGTCAGCATTGAGAATGGCCCATCGCAGCCCGCATTCTCGTAGGCGTAAATCGTGACCCCGTCACTCGAGATGAGGTTCTTCATTTCGCGTTCGGGCTCTGAGTCGCGCTGAGGTTTCACCTGTTCCTTCATTGACGCCACAGAATGTCCATGCACAAATATGCACTAGCAAAAGAATACAGGAACATTCGGTTGGAACCAATTCGTGAGAGATGTTGGGGAGTCAGCAATACAAAGTCTCTCAAGCAATTCTCAGACTTTGGGCCTGAATGCCTGTTGAGACTGTTGATATCTTTAGACACCCACTTTGGACGGCATCGACAAATCATCGACATCTACATGCTCTAAGATTCAGCATTCATCAACTCCTTGGACGCCCTTAAGAATATGCCATTTTGTCGAGGCCACAGAAGAGCGCACGTGGCCAAAGCCCCAGCAATGCCCACCAAAGCCAATAGCGCCACAGCCTCTACAGTCCAACAAAGACCAAGAAACAAACGAGTCCTTTTGCAAATGAACCTTTTGTACGTCTTGTAACACAAGGAATTATATACAAGGATCACATTGACTGCTCGCCCCCCTACCTAGGTGCGATGGCCTCCAACCTACTAGCAATGGCCTCCAACCTACTAATAGCGATGGATGACCTCCTACCTAGATAGTAGCTTCCCACGTGCCTGGTTCCGCATTGCTTTGGGGAGCGACCTTGCTAGCTCTGGTAAGCTTGCTCGCTGGTGCGAGGGAGAAAGTCCATCGCTCTCACACCTCACCACACACGATTTCGAGCGAAGCAAATTGGATGATGTTCTTGTGAGTAGGGCAAGATATTGCGATGAAAAAAGGATGGAGTCCCTAAGGTGAGCTTTGTAGTAACCACTGGGTCCAAAATCCCTGCAGCGGCTTGGTAGTTCTGGGGTCAGGTGTGCCAATTGGACCGGCTTTTCCGCGCAACGGAACTCTCAATCACATTTGAGCCCGGCATTGCGATGGTTGCCCTTGTCCTGTGATGGCGGCTGGCTCTAAATGTGTTGATCTTTTTGGTTCACTTCCTTTCTCGCAGCCATTCAGCTGGCAACCTGCTCTGAAGCTTTGAGGTTACGAGTACCTCCTTGCTATTGGATGTCAGAACATCAATTGGCTTTAGTCAATTTTAGTGTCTTGTCAACATCTTTGCAAACGCGGATGACCCTGACACGCAAGGTATTTCACTTTCTGATCGCTCTGATTTTTTGAATGTTCGACTCGCAATAGCTAGGTATCCTAGCAAAGGAGCTTTGCATCGGACGCCTCCGAAGGGGGAGCCTAAGGGCCATGGGGATAGGTCGTTCACGATCACCAACAATGCAACTTGCCCGAAAGTAGGATGTCGGTGTTCGTGCAATCCCAGACACTCTCCTTCAAGCCCACTCAAAGGACTCCCATTCAAAGGCATTTGCTCTTCCAGGCCCATGAAGCTTCCCGAAGGCATTCTTGAAATTCTGAGATAATGAGGGATTGATTGGATTCGAGCCAAATTCACGGCCTTATCGACGGAAGTTGTATAAGATGGTGAGGAACAAGTCGATCCGAATTCTAAAGTCCGAACAAGAGCTCTTCTATAGAATGCGATCCAAATTTGTGAGACCTAACAAATTCATACAAATTCAAGAGATCAAGACCCAAGGTCTGTGAGGCCCGGTCTTGAATTGACCTCGCCTCTGCCATTGTCCAGCATCAAACAGACCTTGGAAGACAGCAAACTGGTAAAGCTCTTGGCCTGTAAAAGCTCTAGCTGGGCGCAGCTGATCCAAGCAAATCTGGTAGGATGCACACCGTTGTGCTGGAAGGAGGTATAAAATCAGCAAAATCCCTCTGAATGGAAACTTGGCAGTTGACGGGCAAATAAACCAATTCTCTTGAGCTACTAGTGCCAAACCTTAAGTTTCCCCCAAAATCTAGGAACCAAATCATTAGTGCGAGCGCTTCTTCAAGGAAGCTTCCCCTGCCGCCTTTAGGGCGCCGGGGGGGGCTTCCTTGAAGAAGCGCGAGCTATCCTGCGTCCAAGGTAGTAGCGTTCTTGTAGCTACTAGCCACCTCTACCTGGTACCTACTACCTCTACGGCCAACCCCCCCCACGGGCTAAAAACAGGAAAGAAAAAAATCGTTGAAGGAAGCAAACAAGTATCTGTCGATTTTGGGGGCACCCAAATTTGATGAAACCGCCTGTGCCATGATCAGTAGTTCTGGGTCCGTCGCAATCAAAGGGTCACTCAATGCTAAACTATTGCGGTCAACGGAATTGTACAACGGATTCTAGGAATACCCTGCGAAGGCATGAAATTGCCGCTTGGCACAGGAACGTTTCGTGGACAAATTGTCCTATATAAAAAGAACTGTCCCATTTACCTTTGTCAGTCCTTTAACCTTCCTTTTCTAATCCTTTTCTTTGGCCTTTAAATGTCCTTATCTTTTTTGGCATCAAAGGAGATTCAATAAAAAGAAAACAGTAATGGCTGGCGCTGGTATTTGAAAGGCAAAGGGCATTTAGAGGCAAAAGGAAAACGAAAAAACGGGATTCATCATTGAATAGGTATGATTGTAGAATGTAGAACAGGAATGAGTAGGTATGCAACACTGTGCATGAGAGGACGGAGTTACTACCTTTGAAAAAATCCTGTGCTGTTAACTCTCTGTAAGCTCAATCTTATAAGTCGGTCGATGGCTGTACACAAAACTTGACAACTACCGCTACCAGTTGGCGTGGAAAGAAACTTGTTGTAAGCAAACAAACTCGGTCGAGCGGCAAAGTGGCAAACACATGCAAACATATTAGAGTAATCCGGACTGAAGTGGACGCATGTGTAATTATAAGCCAACAGGAAGCTGTTGGGGCAAACATCAAGTTTCAAGTTTCGAGTCGCTGTGTTTGGAGGGTCAATGCATAAAATCTGTGATTGGAGCTAGACAGAGACCAGTATTGACCAACGCGATGTTGGAAAGCTCCCGAATTCACCAGGACGGCTAGCGGCTAAAAGTCTCCTTACCTTGGCAGGTACGGTCTTGGGCCCTCACTCCCACATCTAGCTGGCCACCAAGATCATCGATGGGTGCCTCCAAACGAGAGCGTTTCCAATACCATGAATCACATTGAGATGTGAGCAGGAAAGGGCAGGCAGGTGTACCCTTCCGAGTCCTTGTCTGTTTGTGTCTTGATATCTAATAGTGTCTAATGATATCTAATCTAATAGGTTGTGATTGATCATCACACAGGGATCTGTTCTCCGTCACATCCTTTGTGCAAAGCTGCCATTTCACTGCACCCCCGTCCTCAAAGGCCAGGACCCGCAACTGGCCCGGCAAAAGCCACGTCACCAACCTGGAAAATGTGACGACATGCGCTTGGTGCAAAAGAAGTTGCTTGGTCGCCGAGTCACGAATCAAACTTTGCGATCGAACCAGTCTTGCCTGTGAATCAGATTGAAGAGTTTCACACTACAGCTCAGGCAAGGAGTACGAGAATGTATGCGATAAAGAACAGCTAATATTAAAACGGGTACGGTGACTGATATGGTTGCATTACAAACGTTTCAAGATGTGGGGCTATCCAAGAGCGTTGGCTGGCATGAATGCAAAGAGGGGTGCAATTGCGAAGCCATACACAACTCTTGCTAGGATACAGTATGCAGGGGTTGAAAGCAGCGTCACTTCGAAAGCTCAACCAACAGCTGGAAATACAGGACCAAAAAGAAGCAACGGACCAATTCAATGGAATGACCACTATTAAACGGTCATTGCTATTAGGTTGGAGGCAATCACTAGTGGAGGCCATCGCTGCCATTATGCCCCTTGTCAACTGTGTATTGTATCCTGGTATCCCAAGTTATCACTCGGACCGACTCGGACCCTAACCTCACCAACGGCTGACTCAGAGTGCTCCAAACCTTGGCAAGTGGAAATTCGTGGTGCTTCTTGTTTGCGGCATGGAAGTAAAGGTCCCCTATAAGTGGGGTCTCTGCAAGGCTGCCTCCAGCTTGAGATTAGGCGATGCAGGCTTTGCAAGGGTGAACTCAATCTTCTACAGCTAATTACATGTAAAGGGAACTTGTTGGATGCAATCAAAGGCTAAGGAACTGAAAAGTTTTCTAACGGCCTGCCGCGTGCCCTCTGAACAAAACAGCATGATTGTGATTATGATTCAAACAGCAGCTTGCAATGCTCAATGTTGGAATGAATAACGCTAAGTTGCCGGCAAGCAGCGCAAACAAGGACCGAATATTGTCCAACAAGAACTGAATCCTCAAGCCATGACGAAATGTATTGGCACGCCAATGCTTGGCATCGTTGGAAGTACCAAATGGAGGATACAGTTTTGCCCTGTATATAGAGGTGAATCCATCGAACCAAGGATGAGGCCTCCGCATGTTTGCCGTGACCCTGACACCTGAGCAAGGCTCAGAAGGTTAAAGTCCAGCTTTAGTACCACTACACCTTGTGAACAAAGCACAGCACTCCGCGGTTCATACCTCAAAGTCTTGGATGTTGGAAGTTGTCGATGGTTGGTGGCTGTTACGGTTGTTACGCATTCGTTGCAAAATACTGGGTTATATTATGCCACCATATACTACACTGAGAACACCATTCTGATATTGGAGGCCATCACTTCTAGGGTGGAGGCCATTGCTTCTAGGGTGGAGGCCATTGCTATTAGGTTGGAGGCCATTGATATCAATTCAATGACCCGAAGGATCTCGTGACAGCGCCAAGTTGGATCGTCCCAATGACTGAGCTCCACGCGTTGCTCTGAAGCTCTCACCCTAAGACCGGCACAGCAAGGTCAACTTGTTTACCCCTTGATGCGGCCCTTGCGGCCCTTGCAAGGTCCTTACAGTAACTATGACCAAAGAGCTTTCACGTTCGATTTTCATCACGCCTCCGTTTTCTGGTCTTTTTTGGTTGCACCTTTAGACCTGCCGCTTTTCCTTCCTTTTTTTCTTTCTTTGATGGTGTCCTTTGGCCTCTGAAGTTCTCCAAACGCATCGCCAAAACTTAGCATGGCATCTACCTGGACTAAGCCAATGGCATCTTTTCTAGTGCCACCGCGCGCCGTTGCAAGAGCAACAACCAGCCCGACCTTGATGCTGGCACAATGAGAAACTGAGAAACAGAGTTCCTCAAGTTCAGAAACTCGCACAGCTCCCTTTGTTTCTATTGAACAAATCATTATCCAAAAAGAAGCAAACATACCGTAAAACTTGGCCTTTTGCTCGTACAGATTTTGCTTAACTACTGCCTCAGAAACATCAAGTTCATCTTGCCGATATGGTTGGCATGTGGTAAATGAAATCAAGGTTGGTGGGTATTGCGTCCTCGTGCAGGCACAAGGTCGGTTCCATCACAAAGAAAGGCAGTAAATAGGCAACCCTGAAGAGAGCACAAACATGCATGTAGCGTAAACTCACCCATGGCAAGAATCTGATATGGACTTCTGGGTGCAAAACAGGGGTGCAAGCATCCAAGAACCTGCAATAAAGCATTCAAGGGCCAATCTCACTAGAGCCAAACTACTATATAATGAAAAGTTCCCAGCTCATTGGATGCTCGCATCAGGGCTAGCCGAGTCCACGGCAGACGTTTCTCAAGATTCCATACGAGTAAAACTTTGCTTAGAAAAAACAAAGAAAGAAAGAAAAAGGATGAAAAAGGTGGTAAGGCCAGGAGCCCCTAGCAGCCTCCTTTAAGAGAAATTCTTTTTTGATGCCAGGTTGACGTCGCCTGAAGGTTACGCGTGTCGACCGATTACGCAATGGAACCGATCCAACGAGTCGCCTTGTTTGAGCTCCAAAATCACGGAGATGGGTCCTGCCAAGGGCATCGCTACTAGGAGCAAGGACGCTACTAGGGGCTCCTG